GAGAAGAGCCTGTTCCTCCTCTATTCAGGTTACGGCTAGTATCCTTTCATCTGAACTTAAAGGACTCCCTTTAGCGTTTATTGTAATGCAGGTCTAGTGGTAACAAACTGTCTCCATTTTTTGTTTATCTGGGAATGTCTTAATTTCCACCTTCATTTTTGAGGGACAGTTACGTGGATATAGAATTCCTTGTTGACAGTTCTTTTGTTAGGCACTTTGAATACATAAGCCCACTTCTTTTTGGCCTTCAAGTTTTCTGGTGAGAGACTGACTAATAATCTTTTTGAAGATGGCTTGTATGGGATGTGTCACTTCTCTTGTTGCTTTCAAGGTTCCCTTTCTGTCTTTTGGCAATTTAATTATAATGTATCTTAGTGTGGGTCCTTGTATCCTTCTTAGAATTTCTCAAGCTTCTTGAATTTGTAGTTATGTCTTTACATTTGGAAACTTGCAAGCATTATTTCTTCAAATAACCTTTTACCGCTTTCTCTTCTCCTGAGACTTTCATAGTGCGTGTGTTGATCCACTTGATGCTGTTCCACAGATTATTTCTGCTCACTTTTGTACATTTTTTTTTCTTTTTACTGCTCAGACTGAATGATTTCAATTGTCCTATATTAACGTTTGTGAATTTTTCCTTCGGCCTGCTAAAATCTGCTATGAACTGGTGGATTTTTCATTTCAGTTCTTACACTTTTCAGTTCTAAAATTTATATTTGTTTCCTTAATTTCCATATCCTTATAGATACTCTCATTTTGTTTGTACATTGTCTTCCTGTCTTTATGCCTTCATTTGGTTCCTGAGCACTTTTAAGACAATTGTTTTAAAGTCTTTGTCTAGCAGGGCCAGCATCTGGGTTTTCTCAGGGAAAGACTCTGCCAATATATTTTGTTCCTTTGAATGAGTCGTACTTCACTGTTTCTTTGTATGCCTTGTGATGTTTTCATTAAAACCTAGACATTCAAATCATATAATGTGGTAACCCTAGAAACAGATTCTACCCCTTCCCCAGGGTGTTTTGTTTTGTTTTATGATTTAGTGGTATCTCTGGATCAGGAATCAACCTGAAGTGAAGCTTAAGGTCTTATCAGGTCTTTTTTTTTTTTTTTTTTGGAAGGACTTCACCTGATGGAGGTTACAGCAATGTCAGCCATCTTCTGCATTCGCACCTTGACAATTTAAAGTAGCAATTAACCATCGGAGCACAGTTATTTGGAAGATAAGGTTCTTATTGCTCACCCTGACTCCAGAAAGTTGCACTAGGAGCACAGACATAGCTGCCTGCCTTTGGGGTGAAGGATGGGCAGTAGCTGCTCCCACACTAAAGGCTGAAATTGAGCAAAACTAATTGAAATTGACCAGCCAGGCTTTCCCCTGGAAGATGCAAGCTTTTAAGTAGACTGCAGTTTCAAAATAGTTTCTTCAGATAGTTTCTGCCAGTTATTGTCAGATTATTGTCTAGATGGAGAGATGGATTTCTGGTGCTTCCTCCTCAGCTCTCTTCCCTGACATCATTCCCTCATTTTAAGATAAGCTCTGGCAATATAGTTCATTTCAGTCTAACTGCTGTTTATTGAAGACCATCCTGTGCAGTGTCCTCTGCTGAGAACACAGAAAAAGGATTTTCCTCCTTTTTCCTTTTAGGAGCCAGAAATTTAAGCACAAAGACATTTAAAAGCAACGTCATTTAGGAGAACTTAGAAAGCCACCAGAAATGGCTAGGAAACATTGTGCCACGCTGCACAGTGTTCCTCCCAGAGGAACAGGAGGAAGACGGTGCTCCATTTCATAAGGTTGATGGTAAGCAGCATAGCAGAGACCTGAACAAGATTTGGAGATGCTCTAGGGAGGAAAGAAAAACAGTCTTCAGGGTGAAGGTGGCCTCAAGGACAGACAGAGGGTTAGGAGGTGGGAAGTGGGGACCGTGGGGCTGTGAGCTAGATAAGGGGCCACATAGAGACTGCCTGTTGGAGAAGTTGTCATGGAGAAGCAGCAGCATAAGCAGATCTGGAGGGAGGTGTGCCAAGGCACGTGTGATACCCCGGGGGTCCGCCTCCACCCGCTTTCTTCTGCATCCAGTTCTCTTACGTCATATCGCATCTTACCTCCTCTCCACCTCCTCACTGTCGGGGTAAAGGTAGTTGTTGTATGTGGGTTAGGCAGATGTAAAACTGGAGAAGTCAGCTTTTGGAAAGGGATGAAACCGTAGGTAAAAGGAAGCTCGATAACAACTCCGGAAGTTAATCACATGCTGTTCACCAATCGCAGGCTACACTCAAGGGTGTAGGGAATGTAGCTGCCTTTCTTCTGCAAACCGACCTCATTTGTATTTTCACACTCCTTGTCCACACTGTGTTCCTCATGACTTCAGCTTCTGCCCTGCTTTCCCTGAGTCTGCATCTAAGTTCCACAAGGAGCGTCTGGTCCTTGTGTCGTCCGGTTCCTTAGTTTCCTGGGGCTGCCATAACGAAGAACCCCCAACCAGGTGGCTTCAACAACCGGAAATTACTGTCTTACAGTCCTGGAGGCTGGAAGTCCAAATCAGGGTGTTGACAGGGTTGGTTTCTCCTGAGGGATGTGAGGAAGAATCTGTTCCAGGCCTCTCCCCCAGCTTCTGGTGGCTTGCTGACAATTTTTGGCATTCTTTGGAGTATAGAAGCATTATTCCAGTCTCTGTTTTTATCTTCTCCTGGTGTTTTCCTGTGTGTGTGTGTGTGTGTGTGTGTGTGTGTGTGTGTGTGTCTGTCTGTATCTGTGTGTCTGTTTATCTCCAGATGTCCCCTTTTTACAAGGACACTTCATATTGGATTAGGGGCTCAACCTACTCCAGTATGACCTCCTTTTATCTAATTCTATCTGTGCCCCGTTGGCCCTATTTCCAAATCGGGTTACACTCTGAGGCACTGGTAGAGGTTAGGACCGTGACATCGTTTTGTGGGGGCCTAGCTCAGCCTGAAACATTGTGCCAGTGTGCCTCTGCGGCCTCACTCCTTCCTTCTCTGGTGTCCACTCGTGGGGACTTATTGCTGGAGTGATGTTTCTCCTGCTGATCCATGTGGCTCTTGGGGGTCACCCCTCTCCACTTGTTCCACCCTGTGCTTCATTATTCATTCTGTCTGCAACTGGTACCCGGGCCAAGGTTCCTGGGGAGGCTTTCTGAGGCTCCTTCTGCCTAAACACACCATGCAATCATTCTCTGAAACTGCCTCTCTTGCCTTCTATGCAGGAAGCAGATCACAAGGTCCCTTTGTTCTCAGGCCCCATAAACCTTCTAGAGGTTTAGCTGTTGCCTTGAAGAGCAGAGCTCAGGGCCCCACTGTGGGGCCACCAGTAGGTTTAATCTCCCTAGGTCTTCTCTTCTCTTGGGGGAGGGAACTATTTTCTGATGTATATGAGGCAGACAGAAGTATGAAAGGGGACTTTCTCCCCAGGACATTTTCTCCAAGACATCTGTGTAGATCAGGAGCTGGCAAACTTAGGTTCCACGGGCCAAATCTGGCTTAACCACCGGGTATTTAATAAAGTTTTATTGGGACACAGCCATGCCTGTTCTTTTACATGTTGTCTCTAGACTGCTTTTGTGCTAAAGTGGCAGATGAGTGGCTGGAGACTGGATGGCCCACAAAACCAAAAGTGTTCACTATCTGGTCCTTCACAGAAACAGCTTTCCAACCCCCCGTGCAGATCTGTTTGACACAAAAGCCTGAAGGCTCTGCCCTCTCCTGCTGTTATCTCTCTCTCAAAGCAGCAATCGCAGGGCGGCCTTGCTCTCTGAACGTGAAGAATGGCAAAGGAAGAAAAACAAATAACAAAGGAAATGGCTGATGTGTTGAGATGACATTTGGCCAGCAGGTGTGCACGGTTTGGAAATTCGTTGCGCAGAACAGTTTGGATGTATGCCCCTTTCTGTCATAGGCTGAATTTCAATAAAAAGTACAGAGGGGCGTGGGAGTGGATAAGAAAGCTTATTCCATCATGATGACCTTGGCATCATGGAAATGAATGGAACCGTTGAGGTTGCCCAGGCCTGGGTCCTCCAAGGACACCCTAGGGCCTTGCAGCCAGGCCCTCACACGTGTGGACTTGGCCAGTGAACACAGCCTAGGTCTCCAGAATGGCTTAAAACCCCAGCCTCAGCACAGAGCACCTGGGACCCAAGACCACAGCATTAACCTGTGTGGTGTCACACCTGCCCAGGTAAAGGGAGCTCAGCCCGGATCTAACTGATCTCCCCTCGAAGCCCATGAGCAGGTGAACTCATTATTCTTTTCATTATAACGTAAACAAGCTTAGTATTTACTCTTCCTGAAACTTAACCTCCAGAGAATACCTGTGGGCCATTTAAAGGTCTTCATTTCAGGCCGAGTGCAGCGGCTTATGCCTGTAATCCCACTACCTTGGGAGGCCAAGGTGGGCAGATCACAAGGTCAAAAGATCAAGACCATCCTGGCCAACATGGGGAAAACTTGTCTTTACTGAAAAAAAATACACAAAAATTAGCTTGGCATGGTGGCACGTGCCTATAGTCCAGCTACTGGGGAGGCTGAGGCAGGAGAATCACTTGAACTTGAGAGGCAGAGGTTGCCCAGCCTGGCGACAGAGCAAGACTCCATCTCTCCTCTAAAAAAGTATTCATTTCAGAGGAAACCCTTGCAAAACGTACACACACACATACACACATGCTCCAGAGATGTCCCTTGGGTTTTCATTGTTACCCATGGCCAAATTTTAAGTTCAGATGAAGGACACAACGTGTCTCTGCTTCCGTGATTCCCAGTTCCCGGATGCACCTTTCAGAGGGCTCACTTCAACTTGCCGGCAATGTGGGTCTGGGGTTGTGGGCATGTGGTTTGTAACAGCGGAGAGGACTTTGCTTTGGAAATCTTGCCCTGCCCCCATCCCCCCCCTCCTCTTCCTCCCGGCAAGAGTGAAAGAAACAGAGCTCTCCTGCTCTTCGGTAGCACCATCTGGTTAATGCAGGCCTTCTTCTTCCTTCTAGCCCTGGGCCTGGAGGCGCACACTGCCTGGGTGCCAGTGTGGAGCATGCGGTCTGCGAGAACCTGCCCTGCCCCAAGGGTCTGCCCAGCTTCCGGGACCAGCAGTGCCAGGCACACGACCGGCTGAGCAGCAAGAAGAAGGGCCTGCTGACTGCCGTGGTGGTTGATGGTAAAGACATATGGCATGTCCTTGTGTGGCGGCCTCCTGTCCTCCCCCAGGAACATAAAAGCCACCTAGGGAAGCTGGGGGACACCCCTTTCCCAAACCAACCCGGCAAGACACCCCAGTCCTCTGCCCAAGTCAGCTGTGGCCCAGCTTTGTGAGTCGGGGCCGGGGGTGGGGGGTTCACCTTGAATGACCCAACTCTGTGAGATGTTGCAGCTGCAGCTGTGGAAGCAGGCAGCAGGCCAGATGCATCCCACAACCCCATTTGTAGCAAGGAGGCTGTGCTGGCATCCTGCACCCGGCGCCATGTGCAGAGGGACCCAGGGCAAACTGAGGAGAGCAAGGCTTTACCGCGGCAGCACGGTGTGTTGCTGTGGCTGCTGTCTGGCTTCCCGGTGTGAACGCTCCCCTGCATGGCTTCTCCTGGTTTATTTTGGATTGGCTCTTAATCCTTGGCCAGGATGTTGGGGGACATTTTGAGAATAGGTGACAACATGGGAAAGATGATAATAAGCACAGGTCACATTTTCTTCCCAAGAGCTTTCTCCCAAATCAAGAGACTGCTCCGTTGGGCCCCTGCAGGCATTTCTGGGTGCTGATAAAGTTCTAGGTGGTATGTCATGGATACATTTGTCATGTCTGCTTAATTAACGTCCTTAATAGAAAAGGACACCCCACGGCCCACTTCGGGGTTGTTGGTTTTTTTTTTTTTTTTTAAACCTAAAACTGTTCTTCTTTAGGAAGTAAGACTTTGTGTTGTAATGATGATGTGAGCCCGTTTATCAGTACTTCGTGTACAAGATACAAGTTAGCACTGCATACATTGTCTCACTTAATACCCAAAACAGGCCATGCAGAAGATGAGAGGGAACGAGGTTACAGGACACCTCTAAGCGCCAGTAACTGACAAGAGGCCAGGGCAGAAGCTGACCTCAGTTCCAGGGAAGTTGACTCACAGAAAATAGGCAGCTGTCGTCTGGCTTCCAACACTGGAACACGGCAGCCTGCATGACTTCATGGGTGTGGAGTCAAGGGGCTTTAAGAAAAGCTTAGGAAACTGGGCTTGGTTTTTAGAGAGCCTCAAAAATGTTTTGCAGAAGAATGACGTTCTGATGCCAGGTCTTGGGTTTCTTCCCTGTGATGGGAAGAGCCTTTGAAATCTGCATTCCACGGTCTGCTGTCGCAAGTTCTAGTGTGCACGGCTGTGTGAGGGTAGGCCCAGGCGTCTCTGGAAGAGCAGCCTGAGATCCGCAGCTTCTAACAGTCTGACCGGTCCTCTCTGAGCTGACTCGTAAAGCCACATGTGATGCTCTGAATTGTAGCAGGTCACAGCAACCCATGCAGATGAGGACTCGTTAAAAGTTTTAGGGAGCCCCTGATCTGCCATTGTCCTTTTTTAAAAAGAGCACTACCTTCGGGAACTGTGTACTGTAGCAACACCATCAGCTAGTCAGCAGAATTCACAAGAAACACGGCCTTGGCACCATCAACTTTCCCTGCAGATGAGGGAGAGCAGAGACCTACCCTCCTAAAAAGAACAGTGTGTCTGGGGCCACGCACTTGCACACAGGCCCTCGCCTCTCTCTGCCTGGCTGTGAAGCAGATGGGGGAGGTGGCAGGAGGCCTCTGCTGTGTCAGCCACACGCAGATCCCTAATTTGAAGTGAGAGAGCTGCCCTTGGCCCAGTTCTCATGAGAAGTGGCTGGTTGTCACGAGAAGCAGCTCGGATTCCGAACCTTCGGCTTTGCCGAGCATGCCAGAAAAGGATGCTTTTAGACCTCCTTCCTGTCCGCTCCCGCTTCGCAGGAGCAAGAGGAGGGGAGGTCTGGGACAGACTCTGCTCTTGAGAGTTCGGCTTGTCCTCGTGCACCAGTTGTTCTTTCCTTGTTGCCTGCTTCAGTTTTCAGTGCCCCTGCCTCATGTATTCAGTGCAGTGTCTGTGTTTCCACACATTTCTCCAAGTCCAGATTAAACTTCGGCTTTCCTTCTGACCACTTTTGAATGGCTGGACTTTGGTTGCCTTATCACCGCAGTGGCTGGGACTTCAGTCTGCCCCGGTCCTCCATCCAGGAAGCCTTGTGGTGCGGCTCTTTGGGGAGCTGCTTGGGTTGGGAACGTGACCTTTCACCCACTTACTTTCTGTCCCCTGTGCTCAAGTTGTAAGTTATTGTCACTGGAGTGCCACTGCCTTTGATGTGAAAAGCACAGCCCCGTTTGATACAGACAGCTCACAGGCAGTAAGTATCTCACCTTTGAAGGAGAGACCCCAAGCTCGGGACTTTGCGTAGGTAGCTAGACATGGCCTCCTCTTGGGTAATATCGTCCTGACCTCTTGCATCTGCAGGGAATTTCATTTCTCTCTCAAATCTAAACAGAAGCCAACATTTTTTACAGGAGCATTCCACAAAGGGTAAAAACAAGTAATAAACGGCCAATTTAGAAGGCAGGGGGAGAATACGGATTATAAGTGTACCTCTGAAAACTGTTCATAAAAGGTACAGTTCTAGCTGAGCTGTGATAGGAACGATGCCTGTGGTTGGGCTCTGGGCTCTTCTGAAGCCCATGATGACTGCCCCATTCATAGCAATGCTGTCGCCGTGGAATTCTTTGGCGAGTGACGCACAGTTCAAGAGAGGGGAAACTGTATTTTTTTTCTTTTTTCTCTCTCCTTTAAAAAAAAAAAAAATTATTGCAGAGGTAGATTTTCCAAGGGAGGATTCAGGACCACAAAATCCATCCCACCTCCAAAAGAAGACAAAGACTCTCCTTAGAAAATATTTCTCAGTGGAAAAGCCTCTAGACAGAAACCCATTGAGATGGCACATTGCCAAACCCACCCTGTTTCTGCTTTCCCTGTGGAATCTCATTGAAGTGGAAACCTTCAAGAGTTCAGCCCTCTCTGCCCAGGCCAGCAGGCCGTGGGCCCACCAAAGTGTCAGAGAGCTTGGCAGAGGCTGCGTCTGGCCATGGCTGTGCATTCCCAGCTCCTCCCGCCTGGCACAGCAGAACCCAGGTCTGAGCCTCTGTGGGGGTGAGGGGCATGATGGTTAGGGCTCTCTGACTCCAGCTCCGCCAAGCCAGCTGGGGCTGCTTAATGAGAACGAGGGAAGCTGTCACAAAGCCAGAGATGTCAGGACCGTAGCTCCGAGGTCTCTGCTGCTTGCATTTGGTAGTCACACCCTCCTGCACCCACAAGTTTTCTCAGAGCTTGTCTATGTGCAAGCTGGTAGGGTAGCCCACGGCACCTCTTACGTAAATACACATGCCTCATCTAGATCCTTTGGGACCACATACGGTTCAGGTCTCAGAGCATTTTATGTGTTCAAATCAGCCAAATATCTGTATCCCTGGTGGGTTCCAGGAAAGCACCCCATATTCAAACATGTGGGTCTGCCCACCAGGTAACCTCACGAAGGGAGATACAGACACTACCAAGATCTCACATCAATCCAGGCTGGTTTTGCCGCCAAATGTGTTTGCCACAAATGGAAGAGAACACTTAGAGTTGTCAGAGCTTTCTGGATTTTTAAATTACATATAAGGGAGTATAGCCTTCTTTGGGATTCATCAACCATGAGCAGACATGACTTCTCTGCATCTGAATTTCAGTACTCCATTCGCAGGAAAGAGACGAGGAATGGACCAGCTATGGATAGGTGCTCAGTGCTGGTCAAATCCACGGAGGCCTGGCTGCCGGGGCTGCCTGATGAGGCCGGGCAGGCGGCTTTGGGGGACAGGAGTCTGAGTAGCCTCCTCAGCATGTGTCCCCCGACAGAGGATCAGGCAGAACTTGGATGAGTGCTGTGATGAACTCAAAAACAGTGTTTCCACCATACGAAGACCTCCTAACTGCTGGCAGAGAGAGAGTAGCAAGAATGTGGAGAGCCATGAGTGTCGTCTTCACTGCAGAGGAATGTTCCAAACCAGCAAGCAGACGTCACCATGTGGCTTCTAAGCATCTGAGCCCATCTTCCCTGCCCTGCCTGTGACCTTCTGCAGCCAAGCAGAAGTCCTGCTGCCAGGCAGGCCAGCAAGAAGCCAGAGTGGCCCCAGGCTTTGCAGCATCACCCAGAATTGCAGCATCACTCAATTGCAGCATCACTCAGAATTGTGGCGTCACTCAGAGTTGCGGCGTCACTCAGAATTGCGGCGTCACTCAGAATTGCAGCAGCACTCAGAATTGCGGCGTCACTCAGAATTGCGGCGTCACTCAGAATTGCAGCAGCATGCAGAGTTGCGGCGTCACTCAGAATTGCGGCGGCACTCAGAATTGCAGCAGCACTCAGAGTTGCGGCGTCACTCAGAATTGCATCTCGGCACACACCAGGCATGCAGGCAGCATGCTCCAAGCTTCTTTCCTTCAAGTGTGTGGTTGGTTGTATAACTTGTAAAGAAACGCGATTTCTCCCTGTGCTACTGGGGATGTGAGAGTGTTGACGCTATGCCCAAAGCCGAATCCCTCCCCTTCCTGTTATTTATCAGGGAACTTGTCTGGGGGTTAATTTTTCACCTGAGGCAGCCTGGAGGGAAACAGAGAACTTTGAGGCCTTCTGAGCCTCCTCCTCACATTTTATAAAGCTTATCCTCAGTCCCTTTGGAGATCATGCCTTACAGTTTGCTAGTGATGTGGGTGCCCTGAATTCCAAGCAGAGGCCTCAAAGAGGAGATGGACACATGGAGAGTTTTCGCTGAGCAGGGCAGGGAGGCCCCACCTCTAGACCCTGTTCTGGAGCCTGAGTGTCCCTGGCCGTCCAAGCTGTGAAGGGCAGTGTCTGCAGGTGAGCGGTTGCATGCAGGTGGAGCTGAGTGTGCATTCCTGCGAGGGTTATGGCCAGCATCCCTCCAGCTGAGGTTGGCCTCTGCTTTGCAGAGTCCCCATTTCTCTGCCCACCCCAAAGAGTCCAGATAAACAGCCTTCATCCCTTCCAAGTCTGGCCTTTCTAACTTGCCGCAAAACAGCCTCTGCTTTTCTACCCAAGTCTCATTTCCACTTCTGTTCAGATCAGAGGATACACTCGGAAGCCAGAAACATGCATGAAACTGGTGGTTTATTCTTGGCAATGCCACTTTGCCCTTGATAATTTTGGTCCTAGGAATTGTCAGTTTAGAGAGGAAACTGGAATGATGGAGAAAGAACCAGATTGCAGCCAAGAGGCTGGGGTGTGCCCTGCCAACTGTCGAGCACCTTCTGTGAGCCCCGTGTGCACGTCTGTATAATGGAATGATGACAGCACCCACCTGAAATGAATAGACACTACTTAGCGTGCTGCATGGCACACCATAGGTAGTAAATATCGCTGATGATTTCATCATCCTTACTATGACTACTGTTGAACAAATCACCTCAATGCTCAGTTTCTCCCAGTACAGAGCCAACATTTCAGTCTAAAGGCAATTAAAATCCACAATTTCAAACCCCTTTGGCCATGGGACCCTTGCTTTCAATGAAACAGTAGAGGCAGTCCAGTGTGTGGAGTAGACTCCATGCTGGGGGCTGTGTTGCTGTATCTCTTCTACCAGCTCCCCAGGATGCTTGGGGAACCTCAGGGCCCAGAGGGGACCTCTGGAACCCTGTCAAGGAAGTCCTCTCGAGCTAATCTCAGTGTACGTCTCCATCTTCCAGAGTTCTCCTTCCAACAGCCACCTCCTGAGGTCCTTCCCTGCAAATGGAAGGACAGCTGCCCCTAGCCTGCTGGCACGGGAAATGACTCATTCCTTCCAGGCTGCACCCAGCCCTCTGACAGCTCCCATCAGACCTGTCGCATGTGGCCTCATCCTGCGTTTGCTGTGCACTTGGCCATGAGCCCACTGCGGCCCTCAGAAGCAAACATCAGCTGTCTGTCTTTCCCTTGCAGTGCCCTCAGAGTGCCTTGTGTGAGGGAGGGGCTCAGTCCCTGCTTGGTGAGTGGGTAGTGTTGAGGCGTCATTACTCCGCCAACCCGGGAAGCCTAAGCTCTCCAGGCTACTCTCGGGCAGATGTTTTCCCCACAACTAACTGGAAGAACTGAGCGAAGATGCCAGTGCTACCCCACGTCAAAGCTGGCGTGAGGGAGGAGCTCCGGGGTGGAAGCTTCCAGGGCGGTCGAAGACAAGGTGCCTTGAGGGATTTCCAAGCAAAGATCACATCCCGGGCACAGGCATGAGAGCTGGGCATGTTCTGGGAGGTCACGTGGTTTCCACCCTGCCTGGGTGCACTTCTGGCAGCCCACATGTCCTCTTTGTACCTCACTCCCACCCAGTTTCCGCTGCGATCTCCGTGCCCCATAGCACAGCTCTGCAACTGTCGCCCAGCAGCTAGGGGAGCTCTAAAGCTGTTAGCAAAGCCACTGTCATGGAGACCCTTGGGGAGGCATTCTCATTCACCTTCCCCTCCCCCTCCTTTCTCTAAGAGTGGCTCCGGCTCACCCTGATGTCTATTCATCAACTATTAGCACACAACTATTCCTTTGTTCAGCCAGATATATTTGATGCCTTAAGGAAAAGGAAATGCATCATTGCAAAGGATAAAGAGATGAGAAAAGACAGCCCGCAGAGCTCCGACCACCACCATCGTTCCCCTGAGTCTGTGGGTCTTTTTCCACTTGCTGTGCCTTGTGTTCAGAGGAGCTGGAGCATGCACCTGAGCTCATGCACACCTGTTTACCCGTGCTGACCTGTCCCCCAGCGTTTCCCACTGTCCACCTGTACCTGCGCCCTGCGTGGCCCACCCATACCTTCCCACGTCAACATCTCCCAACCTTTCCCTCCTCAGATAAGCCGTGCGAACTCTACTGCTCGCCCCTCGGGAAGGAGTCCCCACTGCTGGTGGCTGACAGGGTCCTGGATGGCACACCTTGCGGACCCTACGAGACTGATCTTTGCGTGCACGGCAAGTGCCAGGTGACGTACTTCTCCTTTGGTCCTTGGTGGGGCTTTGGAAGGGAGACTGTCTCTCTGCAGATGGTGAGGGTGGGTAGAGCGGAGGCCTTGGGAGGCCAGGGGGAGTGGATTTTCTTAGAAGGCTCCCATCGCTGCCGCCTCCTGCAGCCAGTGTTGGCTGGTGCACCACCGCTAGCTCAGCAGTGACTGAGCGGCAGGCCAGCAGGAGTGGAGGTGACTGAAAAAACAGGTGCAGCATATTCTAAGACTTTGAAAACTGCTTTAGATATCATGACCAAAGCGAAGGCAGGCAGGGAACTAAGAGGCGCTTGGAGGATATCTGCACAGGCTAGGCTCCGTCTAGTGCAAAAGAGACGGCGGAACGGAGCCAGTTCCTGTGCAGGTGGAGCCAGGCAGATAGGCATGCCCGCCTGTCAGGGAGCACCCATCTGCTGCCATATAGTCCCAAAGGCATCGAGGGCTGAGCGACCACTGGTTAGAACAATGATAAAAGTCAGACATTTAAGAAAAGAGAAGCCAGGTGCGGCGGCTCATGGCTGTAATCCCAGCATTTTGGGAGGCCAAGGCGGGTGGATCATGAGGTCAGGAGTTTAAGACCAGCCTAGCCAACATGGTGAAATCGCGTCTCTACTACAAATACAAAAATATATTAGCCTGGTGTAGTGGCTCATGCTTGTAATGCCAGCTACTTGGGAGGCTGAGGCAGGAAAATTGCTTGAACCAGGGAGGCGGAAGTTGCAGTGAGCCAAGATCATGTGACTGCCCTCCAGCCTGGGCAACAGAGCAAGACTCTATCTCGGGGCGGGTGGGAAGGAGAGGGAACGTGGGAAGGGGGAAGGAAGCTTACCCTCAACCCGCATTAACCGCGTCCGAGCTGAGGGCCATCTGTAGCTTTTGTCTTCCCCAGGTGGGGCTCCTGGCCTGGGGTAGCAGAGGTGACTCCGTGCTCTCTGTCTGTCCCTCAGAACAAGCACGTCCTGAGGTGGTGCAGCAGCTGGGTTGGGTGGTGGGTGTCAAGAAGCTGTGTGTTTTCTGTGCCTAGAGGGGCATGGCCCTCACTCATGCCGCAGGTACCATATTCCCTGATGACTTGGCTCAAGCTGGGCGCGTTGTGAGAGAGCCCCAGCATCTTGGCTTGGGCACCTGTAACGATACACCACAGACATTTATTACTCACAGTTCTGGATGCTGGGAAGTCCAACACTGAGGCATTGAGGCACAGGCAGGTTTGGGATCTGGTGAGGGGTCGTCGATCATAGGCAGCATTCCTTGCTCTGTCCTCTCATGGTGGAAGGGGCTGGTGAGCCCTCTTGTGAGTCTCTCATGGGGCCCTGATCCTGTTGATGAGGGTTCTGACCTCATGACCCAATCATGTCCCAAAAGGTCGCACCTCCTAACACCATCACCTTGGCTGGTGATGATTCATATGGATTTGGCGAGACACAAACATGCAGACCAAAGCACCCAAGGAGCCCTCTGCCCCCAGCCACATACACCTGTTCCCGTCATCCTGCACCACGTTCTCTCAGCTGTGTCCTCCCCAGGGGAGCCCACCGAGAGCTAGTGACAGCGGCAGCTCCTGCAATCCGGAGCAGGCAGATCAGTGTCAGGATCACCGTGGGTTGTTCTCACAAACTGTGGCTGAGTCACACGCCAGCTTCGGGCATCAGGTCCCTTTACCCACGTGGACAGCTTATGCTGTCTGCTTGCTCAGTGCCTAGCGGAGGGCATGGGCATCAGTATTTTAGGGTGTGTGAAAAGCAGAACAAGTAGCAAGGCGGAAAGACGCAAAGACAACTTCCAGGGTGACAGCTGCGGCAAACCGTTTCACCCCAATAGATGTTTGTTTCCTGCTAAGGTCAAGCCGGTCTGAAACTGCGATTTTTCAGGGAAAAGCTTGACAAGACCCAGACTCCTTTGGCACTGCCTGGCTGTGTTATCAGATACTATCAAATGTGGATAAGCGTGGGTGATGGGCGCCTGGTGCCCAAGAGTCTTGGCACAGCCGCCTCCTGGGAGGAGGGCAGTGATGAGTGGTTGAACAGGCCCCTCCAGGCTGCTTCCTTGCAGCAAAGAATGTGCAAGGCCCTGCCCCTCGGGCAGGCTGAACAAAGCCCTTATCATTGTTACTGAAATGAGGCATTGCTGATGTTTCTTGGTAAACTTCTAACCAGCCAAGTGCGGGGCTGGTGTCCTTCCTAAATTACACACTTCCACGGCCCATTCTGCCCAGAGACTTAATGTTCCTCCGAAGTTCAGAGCTCTTACACCCTTTAGAGCAGCACCAGCCAAGCCACCCCTGGCCTCTGCCGGCATCTTCTGCTGCGTTCTTGCCAACAGAGAGGCATTTCCTTTTTTTTTTTTTTCCTTTTTTTGAGATGGAGTTTTGCCCTTGTTGCCCAGGCTGGAGTGCAGTGACGTGATCTCGGCTCACTGCAACCTCTGCCTCCCAGGTTCAAGCGATTCTCCTACGGGGAGGCGTTTCTAAGAATCTTGAAATTCTCTAGCCAGTGGGGTCTGTGTTCCTGGCTGGACAGAATTTCTGGTTTAAGTCATCTGTGCCACTGGGCCGCATCCATGACCTTAGTTTTAATCACAGCCTTTTCAGCTAGGGGGTGTTCTCCATACTGTGACAGTGAAACCTTTAGTCAGTGGAATCAAAGACAAGCTGCTGCTCGAGGCATTTGAATAGCCTAAGCCTGTGGTCATGAGAATACCATTGAGCCCAACCCCATTCTGCACTTGGGTGTTGTCTTAGTCAATTGAGGCTGCTATAACAGAGTACCCTAGACTGGGTGGCTTAGAAGCAACAGACATTGATTTCTTAACGCTCTGGAGCCTGGAAATCCAGCATCCAGGGGTCAGCGTACTTGTAGATGTTTGTTTTCCTGCTAAGGCCAAACCAGTCTGAAACTGGGATTTTTCAGGGAAAAGCTTGACAAGACCCAGGCTCCTTTGGCACTGCCTGGCCATGTTATCAAATACGGATAAGTGTATTCAGCCCACGTTCATGCTGTAAACTGCTGCTGTTCTGTGTCCTCACATGGCACAAAGAGAGCTAGTTTCCGGGCGTGGTGGTGTGGGCCTATAGTCCCAGCTGCTCCGGAGGCTGAGATGGGAGGATCATTGAACCTGAGAGGCAGAGGCTGCAGTGAACTGAGATTGTACCACTGCGCTCCAGCCTGGGTGATAAAGTGAGACCGTGTCTTAAAAAAAGAAAAAATCATTTTCTTGAGGCTGGGAGTGGTGGCTCACACCTGGAATTGCTGCACTTTGGGAGGCTGAGGCAGGCAGATCATTGGAGGTCAGGAGTTCAAGACCAGCCTGGCCAACATGGTGAAACTCCGTCTCTACTAAAAATCCAAAAAAATTAGCCGGACGTGATGGTGCATGCCTGTAGTCCCAGCTACTCGGGAGGCTGAAGCAGGAGAATCTTTTGAACCTGGGGAGGCAGAGGTTGCAATGAGCCGAGATTGTGCCATTGCACTCCAGCCTGGGTGACAGAGTGAGATTCCATCTCAAAAAAATAAAAAAGAGCTAGCTAGCTCCCTAGCCTCTTCTTACAAAGGCACCAACACATTCGAGTGCTGCCCCCTCTTGACCTAATCACCTCCCAGAGGCTTCACTCCCAATTGCTATCACGTTGATATAAAGGTTTTAATTTATGAACTCCAGAAGACACAAACATGCAGTCCATCGCAGATGTGATGGGCATGGCGTTGGGGTGCACGCCTTCCTGTTCCCAGATGCTACTCCATCCCCAGGACCAGGTCCAGTCTGTCTCCAGTGTCTCTACCGTTGTCACCATCATTGCAGAGATTGGCGCCTGCACTGTGCCTTACACTAACGAGGCAGAGTCACCAGGGCATGGAGGTGCAGATGGAGGCACCTTTGACGGTGCTCGGAGGGGCAGGTGGAGGCACCTTTGACGGTGCTCGGAGGGGCAGGTGGAGGCACCTTTCACGGTGCTCGGAGGGGCAGGTGGAGGCACCTTT